GGAGCAGACCATTCCATAATCACGATGCACACAGTAGGTCACACAACATTCAGCACAACAGAAACAAAACATTATTTTTTCAACTTCTTCAATCATGCTACTACCTGGTACCTGGTATTTCAGAGAAAATATTAACCATTCAGATAAAGAGAAATTTCTAAATAAAAATTAAACTATGGCTTGTTTGTGCAGGCTTTGAATAGCTCTTTACATTAAATTCACCAACAGTGAAACATGTCATGTGAACTCTGTTTTAATTCTCCTGTATCTTCTACAATGAGTGATAGCTTCAAACCTAAAATAGAAAGCTCGTTAATGAAAGTGATAATACCAATATACTAATACCGCTGTTTTTCACTGGTCGTTTTCTTTTTTGATGTCTCACTTTAGGGTAAATATGACAGACAGATCAATGTATTTTAAAAACTGTTACATATTCAAAATTGTCAATGATGTCTTGAAGCATTTCTCCTCCCCTCCTCGTACAAGGTCAACACATGTTATCTTCCACACGCTTCAGAACAACCCAACCAACCACCTAAGATTTTATAAGATCATCTGGTTTCCATTTTTCTTAGGAATTTTTTGCCACAGACTATACAGCATTATGGTGTACAACTTCTTGCACGTTAAAATACAGCACTCAGTAGTAGGTAACTTGAAAAAAAAATCCACTATTCCAGTCCTAACAGTCACTATGCCTATTTGTAATAACAGACACATTCTTATTTCTTTTGCAATTCACGCTGTCCACTTTCCAGTCACTGCAAGTCACAGCATTTTGTCAGGATCTCGGAATTTCCTGTACAGTAATGAGTACTATCTCATTGCACAAGTTAACAGTGCTATCCAAAAGGGAAAAAAAAAAACCAAACAAAAAACCCCACAAAAACCCCAGCTCCATTATGTCCCTGCACATAAGAATAAAACACAGTAAGGAATAATTGCAATTTATCTGGACATGATGTAAGGAGGTGAGAAAGTACACATGAAGACTCCTGTGCATGCAGCTGTATTTATATCTTTTACAGTTATTCCTTAGCAAATGACTTACTAGATTCACGCCAAACCCCACGGACTCAGCTCACATCGAGGAGCCCCAGCAATCTTTCATCTCTGGCCTACATTGTCACATGCTTTATCAGGTCTGCAATTCTATGTGCAAGCATCAAGTCAGTAAAAAACAACTGCTATGTTTTCTGTTCAATTCAAATTGCTTGTTACTACATGCATCCTCCAACAAGGCCAGGACGTAAATCAATCTCCTAACAAAATTACTATTTACACTTCATTCAAACTAGTCATGTTATCTCTGCTACTGAGTCCGCCTAGTACCAGACAATGGGAAGTTCATGGAGAAGAGGCTCTCGAGCTAAGCATTCACTTCTTCCTGCAGACCTTGCAGCAATTTTAGATTGCAAACTCAAGTCCTATTTTAGGACTACTTGAGAGGTCTTGATACAGGCAGCAAGTGTGCTCATCTCACCACACTAGACGACTTTATTATAGTTTACCCACATCATCTAAGTTTCCTCAGCTCAACTCTGGCTAACTATTGCCTGATTAAAACCACAGAAAAGCACACTGTAACAGTTAAACATGGCACAAGAACATTTTGTATAAAGCAGAGGATTAGTTTTATTTCCAGGCATGAGAAATTTAAGACCAAATTTCCCAAGAATACAACTAATTTTAAAAAATAAATGCCATCAACATGTGGCACCACTGTTTTTCCTCTCCTCATACAGTTTCATTGCACACGTTTTTTTTTCAACGGCAGTCAAACAGAACAAGGGTGAACAGCACAGCAACAGACAACCTAAGGCCTGTAAGATATATACAGTGTTCCTACAGAGCGAGTAAAATGAACAGGAAAGCTGACTCTGACCCATAAAAACTTTAGAAATTTTCATCATGTGTGAAGTTAACAGACAAATTTACAGTACCAAAGACGAGAATAAATTGCATTAGGCACATTGTTAAATAGTATAGTAGGAAAAAATACAGGGCTTTGAACAAGCCATTTGAAGCACAATACAAAGGTTAAGGCATTAATGCAGGCTTGGTATCCCACCAACTATGTTAAGGGCATCTTTGGATCAGTGGAGTTGTTCATCTGGAGATCTCTTCTCTACCTGCAAAGCAAGAGGCAACTTCATTATTCCTTTCCATGGAGACAATTTACTAATTGAAGACCTGGTTGTTAACCACAACTACTTCCATTCCACAAATGCACTAAGAAATGGTCAAGAACTGTAGATAATTCATCTATATGTAGCTTCAAGAATAATTTCTACTTTCTTGCTTTCTTAGCAGTTCCATTTCTGAAGTTACTGCAAGTAGTTTTAGTTACATTGTAAGCTGGTAGAACAACTATTTTACTAGAAAGTTTTCAATGCTGTAACAGCATCCAGTCATGTGGATGATAGCCCTTGTTGCACTTGTATGAAGAAAGTTCCTGGTCAAAGTTAAACAGAAAAAGCAGCATTAGATCACATTACTTAAAAGAGGCTACAGCTCGTATTTACCACAGCTACAGAAGGTTGCATGTTCTTACATACTGCCATCCAAGCCATTAACTTGACTATAGAAGTCATCTGATCATCACCACTTGAACTGGAGGGATACTGACTGAAAAGACAGACCAAACTTCTGTATTTTGGCATATATCAATCAAGTCAGCATCTGTAGAAGCTCCTCACAAGAACACAGTAGCCTTCTGTGTGCATTTTCAGCCTGCTCCGCTGGTCAAGTGAAACGGGTTTGCTTAGACTATCCTCATTTTTAAATAAGATCTCTCCACTCTGGGAGTTAAGTGTTTCATTCTGTTTGCATTGTCTATTCTAATCCATCCAAACTAAAATGAAACAGAAATGGGAGACAGGAAAAAGTAAAGTACATGCACCTTGAGTGCTGGAAATAAACATCTTAAAAGCCAAAAATAACTGGTCAAACAAGAAATAGTAGCTATATTTATGGGATTCCACGCAGTGTGAAAGGGATATATCCCAACTCTTTCCGATGGAATCTAATTCACAGCTCCTGTTTGGTGAGAAACTCAACAGGAGGCTCCAAGTACAGAGGCACACAACAGCAAAAGACAGGACACTGCAGCCTGATCAAGGCAGCCACCTCCTTCCAGCTCAGCTCACTCAACACCACAAGAGTAATTCAAACATGATCGTGGAGAATGGTATGTCCTGTAATAGCACACTTCTAGCAAGAGAGAACATAACAGTTAACTATGATATTTAAAGATTATTATATGCTTTTACTTTTTTAAACCATTCTTTTTCACAAAAACAAGAACCTTAATTTTATTCCACAATTAAGCCAATGGAATCAGATATGTTAAAGGTTAAAACAAACTGCTTCATATAACACAACAGCATGTGCTATACATACCTCAAATTCTCCATTAGTAAGTTTAAAAATGACAGCTTCTCACATAAACTTTCTGGCCATCCTAGAATGCATTAGTTCCCTCTCTTCCTTTGTACAAATCTACCTCCAGTTCTCTGGAAAATCCTTCACCAAAAGGGAGGGGAAAAGCCCTGATTCTTTTAGCAGGCACCCAGAGTCCAAGAGTTGTATCTCATCTCCAGTTCATCCTTGCTGGTCGCAACACACAGACTGTTTTTCAGTCAGAAGGAAGCCAAATTTTTATATCCAAGGCATCCGCTTGTCCAGATAACTGCATTTCAGATCCCAGGCAGCTGAATTATCCTATGGGATTCAGGGATCTGTATGCCCATTACCAGAACACACTGGTCTCTGTTTTCGCTAACGAATTATGTGTTAACACAAGAGCAGTGAAAATGCACCTAGGAAATTCCGCTTGACTGACTTAGCTAATTACAGGCTTCTACTTGAAGCAAGGCCAAGTCTACCTTTAGCTTCTGCTTGCTGCTTAGAAGAGAAGATACAGATACATACACATGCCACAGTCTGACACAACCACAGTTCAGATGAAGCCTCTACGTTGAAGCAGTGGAGCTTTGCTTCAGGGTAAGTGTTCAGGATGCTTTACAGACAGCATTTAACTGAGCTATAATATCAACTATCATCTGCCTGCTGCTATTGGACTTCTGTTTACAGAAGTTAAAGTAGTAACAGCAAGGGGGTATGCAGTTAAACCTAAAAGGACAAAAAAAAAAAAACCCAGGTAAAAAACTAAGCGTGTCTAATTTTTCAGTTACCAGCATAAAAACTAAAATCATGGATACTTCTTTCGACAGCTATCCTTCATTTGAACCTTCAACTCCAAATGCTGCCATTCTAGAGAAACATGAAGTCATCATGGTACTTTTAATACAAGACTTTGTATTTTTGCTGGTCATGTCAGAAAGCATGCCCAAGAACTGCAACAACAGCATTCCAACAGCACTACCCAGATAGCAACCACCAGGCTCATCTATGATTAAAGTTGCACACAGGCTATAATTAAAAAAACCAAAACATTCCTCTGTAAGCTCAGTGTTAGTGCTATACATTGATCAGAAATAAAGAACCATTCTAATTGCAATTCTCACTGTGACTTTCCAGATGAATAAGGGCAACTCTACCTTGCCTTGGAAATCAGGACAGGTCTTGGATGAAGAGAGGTTTAACAATTGTTAAAGATTAGGAAATCCACTTATGCTAGCTATTAAAAGACACTCCAGTCCAATTATTTTTTTTTTTTGGTAGGAAGAAGAAATGTACTGTTCTCCTTACAAACTCCTGCTTACTGAACACAGCAACACATGACAAGACAGCAGAGAAAAATAACTACAAGAATTCAGTCCAAGCTTTTCATGGTATCCAGTCGAGATTAACATCCAAAACATGTTTTGTTGCAGCCTATAGAAAGACAGATTTCTCCAGCAAAACAGCTAGCAATTCTGAACACACTGCTTACACTACTGTTCAATTTCTCCTGAAGCTTTAACATACCAAGTATATTAATAAATCTGATCATACTCACCTAGTCAATAAATTGCAGCAGAGGACAAATATCCTTAAGGCCAGTGATATTTAAGGTACCAGATTGTCTCATTACTTAACTGCGGCCCAAAGAGAGGGTTCAGTTGAGCCAGAATCGCAATCAGCCAACTGCAAGACAACCCCCCCAACCCAAAAGAGAGAACATGAGCCAATTACAAAGGTTATGATAATGGCAAGGCTTGTCCAAAGCACAAGTATTATCAGAGTAGAAAAGACTCTTTTCAGGAACGTCTAGTACCAAATCAAAATTTTACTCAAGCTCATACACAAAGACCAGATACCAGCAATGAAGATCTGGTACCAAATCTTTCCACAACTGAAACAATAAATTGTCGTGTTCAATTTAAAGCAACACAAAACCACCTGACAGCATTTCTCTCATACTTTGACAGGAAAGTGTTTCAAGACGTATGAAATGCAGGTATTTGTGGGCTCAGAAGACAGAAACATAAGAGACAGACCTTTTCTCAGCACCTCTGAAGCATTCTTTAAACAAAAACCTCTGAGAAACATACTCTCTCATTTGCTCTTCTTTTCAACATATGACAACCTACCCTTGCAGACACAGTATTTTTTTCACCAGAGATTGAACAAAAGAGAAACTAAACCTGACACAGAGGTCAAGAAAGAGGGACCTGAAGCAAAAGAGTACAATCCTACAGGAACACACACACACAAAATTAAAAACCCCACAACAACAAAACCAATATGACAACAAACCCCAGACCATCAGCAACAGCAACCTTGTCATCAGAGCAGTTCACAAACTAATGCTGCAAATGCCGTAGCCAGAACTGAGAACAAGAGGAATGAAGTTTGTGGAAAATATCCAGGAAAGCTAAACAGAAATGAGTATTTCACTGTTAAAAAGATATATTTGCTTTGTAAATATTACAAGATTCAGAAAAAGCAATGGATGCTTCCATGGATTTAAATCTATGTTAAATACTAACTATATAAACACATTTAGTGAACACACTGGCCCATTTGTCTGCTATTTCTAGAATGCTTTGTAAGGAGGAGAAAAAGCAGAGCAGCTTTGTAATGGGAGCTGCCACAAATGTATCAGAGTGCTTAGGCAGTCATGGAAAATTCCACACAAACCTTGATGCTTCGACCAGGGAACGAAGTGCAGGACGGCTGTAAAATGGCTGTAACAGCCATGGGCAAAAGATGTGGGCCAGACTTAAAGAAAACACATCAGTCCTCTTAAAATTTACAAATATTTATTTTCAATGCCACTTTCAGTTTTGCACAAAGTAGGACTCTAGTTAAAATGACCTGCTGAGCCTGCAGCAGTTTATCAGTCATGCAGGCCTTGAAATACATAGCAGGCTCTACAAAGCAATTAAAACATCAGCAAGACACCACCAAGAAGAGCCAATAACCTTTAGGTTGACAAGCTATCCAAAGCAACGACAACAATGTGTTCTGAAACCGTGTTAATCATTATGTTAAATTTACTTCAACGAAAAGCAAATTAGCTCTTAAGAATACCACAAAATTTAATTCGCAAGGGTGACTTTTCAGATACAAAAGACAGATAGAAGGGGTGCCAGAGCACTGTACCATCTGCGTTTAGCATCCTGAACTAACAGAAGTGGGAGGAGGGTAGGAACACTAAAAGCCTGTTAAAGCACATTATTTTCTTTCTCACTGTACAGAAGGAAGGAACTCTATGCACAAATATCTCACCTCTCTATGTTTCCTAAGTTCAGACCCAGCATGGCTGTGAATTAAATGAGCTGGAAGCACATTCAAAATATTGACGTGTCCCAGCTGAATAACTATGCTTTAGGCTAGCACTGTGCAGTTTTCAAAAGCTATTTGTTGGGACCATGCTGGATACCCAAGCTCTGAGCCATAGTGGCATTACAAGTCAATAGTATATTCCTCCTCCCTGCTCTGCTAGGGCCTAATAATTTAAAGCAATAGTTAGGCACTGAACTCTACAACTCCCTTGCATTCAAGGTAAGTCATGAAAAGGCTTTTCCCACGTTTTGCTTAAGCGATGCTGCTATCATGACAATGCAAAACAAAATGCAGCACTCAAAGTAAAACAAAGCAAGCCTCTGCATCCAATCTGTAACATTCTAGAGTTGCTAAAATCAGGTATGGCATTCGAGCCACCCACAGGTCTTAAATTCTACCAAATACCACTTACAACAGCTAGTGTTAATTACCCAGCTCAGACAAGGAAATTAAAAGTCCCTTATGTTCTACCAGAAAGATTTTTTAAAAGGTCTTTCTACCATAACTGCCATCTGTCTATGCTGCATATTACAAATTAAGGTCCTGCTATCTCTGTTTAAATGTCAATTTGGGCAACCGTATTTTAATCCTTTTAGAATCGGTAGCAAATAATACCATTTTTCAAGCACCCTCTCCTCTGTTAGTAGAATATCGTGGTAGCATTTCAGGAACTGCTTTGTAAACAGCAAAATAGATTTAGATTTTGACAGTACCTTACAACATGGTGTAACCTATAATTTCTGCAGCAGTAACTCCTTATACTTTGCCTTATATTTTATCAGGTTCTTGAGGCTCATGTATTCTCTTTCAAAAGGCTACTCGTACACAAATTATGCACTTACCTATGCAAAAATTTTCCACAGAACAACCAAATTAACACCATTTGATCAACATGGTTATTCAAAATGATCACTCTTAAATCTAAACAAAGAAGAAACAGCTTTAAGTTGAAATGTGATTGACTTCAAATTTAGTTAGCAAAATTCAGTTTTATGCAAATCAATTTGTCAATCAAGTACTGTTTAATGAAGACAGGAAATTGTTTTTTCCCTATTTTCAACTGGAAAAGTAATTCCAAGAGTATGAAAGTAGGTCTAGCAGAGTTCAAAACAACTCTGCAAAGCAGATAACACCACCAGCCACCTACTAAAGACACACAAAACCAGGAGACCATACCTGTGACAACACAAGTTATTTTAACCCTGACATATCCAGCAAAGAATCCTCAGAAACCATTCTTTCAGGCTTCCTTCAAGACTGGTATGAAAAATTAGTCTCTTTCTTTAGTCATCAAAATTAAGGTCCAAAATTTTTTTCAATGCCTCCTCCAAAGAAGGAAAAGAACATGGAAAGAACAAACTTACATACGTTTGAATAAAACAGAGGAAAAAAAGGTTGGACCAGATGATCTTTCGAAGTCCTTTCCAACCAGGGCCGTTCTATGATTTTATACAGAACTCAGGGTGAGGGAAGACTGTGTGAGGAGGCAAGTTCTGTCTTGGAATATGAGGAGAAAAGTCTGGGTTTTGTTGTATTCTGGCAAGCAGACACTGCATATGTAATTTATGTCGTTGAGTGCAACTACCGATGGTTTAAAACACGGTTAGATTTTGCTGCTTCTCTTTTTTCAAGGTGTAATTGGAGAAAGTCAAAGGGAATACAGAAAACAAGTAGAGTCCCCAAGATTATGAAAGAACCCCCTCACTGGACATGCAATAACAGATTACAAATCTTGTTAATGATGAGATTTGTAATAGGTCTGTTGCAGTACAAAAATCACTAAACTTGTATGTGAAATACCACCGTACATTTGAAGAGTTCACAGCATTCAAAGTTAAGAAATTCTATAACAAATACATTTCACATCATAATCCAGAGGGTTCTGCAGATGCCATGTGGCCTTGACTTCAAGGAAAACTGTCCCTCTTCAAACAATAAAGAAAATAAACCCAAGGATTTTAGAAGAATAGGACATTATTTCTGTTAAAATACAGAGTAGGAAGAACTTAAGTGACAACTTTAAACTTAAACAAAACCAAAAGCAACCTCCCTCACTCCCCCAAAAACCCCACAAACCACCCCAACTTACTGTAACCTAAATGCAGTAACCTCGTAAAAATGAGCCGTTGCCCTTTCTTAGCCAAGTATTTGGGACCTACCACGAGGGTGGGTTGCTACATACTTTATGCGCAGGCAAGGAGGCCTTCATAGCAGTGAGATTCCCAAATTTCAATCCTAAATTCAAGTTACTGGCACCACAAAGCTCTTCAAGTTTCTACACCTGCTCAGCAGAACTTTAATTTCAAAAACTGTCATAGATACAAAACACAGCACCAAGTTTGTTGTACTTTTACAATTATCCAACAGAATTATTTCTTAAGATTTAAAGTGTCAAATACTCTGAATAAAAAAACAAAAATAGGCCTCATCTGTACACAACCTGAATATCACATTATTAAACTAAATCAAACCTGCATAATCCTGTGCCACAGGCCAACCCAACATGGAACCAAACAAGCCTCTCCTGGAGCATTGCCAACACTGATAACATGGCTTTTGGCCACCAGTTCTTAAGAATGAGTCTTATGATTGGAGATGCATTTCTCTAGTCACATTAAGCTCCTTTGAGTAGCATAAATAATGCCTAAATACTTCATGAAAGTACAAATACTACTCAGGTTCAAATGGAACTCTGAATAATGATTTTACTACAAGTTAACCCTAAAGATCTAATCAGACTTTTACCAATTTACTCTCCGTAACAAATTCTTTCGAAGTTATTTCTGCATAGCACTTTCTTTGGCAAGATCACTCTATAGTCTTAAAAGAAAAAAAAAAAAAAAAGAGAGAGAGAAACACTAAGCATCCTTTCTCTTGCAGACTCCAGTTACAGCTGGCTTACCTCTTGACAAAAACCAAACATGCTATGAGGAGTTCCTCAACAAGTAATTTCTACTAATTCTCTTACAGAAAAGAGGTAACCTCAAAATATACTGTGCATTTAAACAGAAATGGTCTTAATATATCAAAGCATCACAAGTCTGTCACAAAAATTGTCATACATTAAAAAAACCCCACATGTAAATTTTTCTACCCACTGCTCTACCAGATTTCAAGAGTATGTTCAACCAAATTAAGTAAAGCAAAACTCCTCAGTAGGTTTAAATTAGTATCACCTTAGAAATAAACGTAAGGTATAAAGAATGAAAAAGGCAAAAAGTCATTGCTCTACTGTGAATCAGAAAAATTGCAGAATTGACAAACTGTCATTATATTTGTAAGTGAATAAGCTAGTGAACTGGAAAGGAGTACTATCAGTGCAGAACACAATTCAACAGTTATGTGTCAGAGGACAAGACGAGGAATTCAGGTTTATTTTAATTCAGTATCTTCCAACAGGAAAATGTTTTCTTCAGCATGCTGAAGGCCTTTAGAATTAAGAATTCTAAGAGCTGTAAAAGGATACCATGTGCCTAAATCTCACACATATGAAAAGCTTCTTCCTAAGTGTTTTGAGGATATAAAAAAGGAATTTTTGATTACATCAGAACGGTGCCTTGATTAAGAAACAAGACATTATTTATACTTACAACAGGTAGCAGCAAACAGCACATGTCACCAGCATTGTGTTGATAACACTGCAAAAAAGGAGGAGAGAAACAGCTGATTAGGTGTCATGTTATGACTGACCACAAGATACATCGGGTGGAAAAAAAAAAAAAAAGGCAAACAAGCACAAGTTCAACTTTGATCACATGGAAGGTGACTCAACATTAGTGTTCTAACTTCTTCCAGCTGAGTAAGTTGCTGAGGCACAGCTAAGACTCTGCAAAAGACCTGACACGGCTCTGGCATACAAAGTATACAGCTGTATTTAACAAAAATCACTCTGAAGAGTAGCAAAATCTTATGCAGTCAGTGTCCTTGCTCCATTTCAGTCACTTCTACCAGCACATTAGTAAACTACTGAAGCTGGATGTGCTAATGCTAACAGTAAACAATACACATTTTCTCCATTTGCAAAATTCTGCTTACAGAAGATTTCAATATCAAAATATACCTTTTGATTCTATATCATGAATGAGGGCTTTGCAAATTGAATACAAAATAAAATCTGAAAGCCACATGAAATTATCTGTAATATAAGATTTTCTGTTATTGCTGAAAGAAAACCATGTCAGGAACCATAGATAAGCTGAAGAACCAAGAACCAAGCAGCTCTTGAAATTGAAAATGGTAAAACTGCAGCTATAGACACATATGATTTTGAAACGAGAGGAAAGGAAATGAGATTTTCTAACAGTGAGTGATCTGTGCAGCTCATGAAACTTAGTAGCAAAGTAGAGGGGTTTTTTTCCTTCTTAAAATTATAAAAAGCGACTTCCCTCTATGTATTTCTCCACCAGAGTAACAAAAACTCACGCTAGGTCAGTAACTTCCAACCCTTCTGTGACATGGATAACACTCAGTATTTTTTATCTATCAATACACATCCACCTTGTCAACTTTCAAAGGAATGCTACAAAGCTAACATAGCCTGCAAGGTTAAGCTTCAGGAACCCCTCCTTTCCAGGGAGTCCCCGGGCCATTGTTTTGGAGTTTTAACCTACACAATGTGAATTCTTAGATCAGTTAAAGTTTGCATTGACTTCTTTTGTTAGAAAAAGAACAATCTTATTCAGAAACAGGCTTTGGGTAGAGTTATTTTGGTGGTGTTTTTTTTTTTTTTTTTAAGAAGATGAGAAGTTAACAGACTACAACAGTGTTACTATAGAGGTGCTATAGAATCCGAACACAGCAGTGTTCTATTCATATTTGTTAAACAATCACATTTTGGAATAACAACAGAACATCTGTTGGTGACCCACATACTTTAAGGACACACCCAGAAGACATATTTCCAAGGCATTTCTGAGGACAGGCAAGTTTCAGGCACAAAACACACTTTGGGTTTGAAATTGAGGCAGTAAATACCAGAGCTAAATAGAACTTGAGGAAAATTCCTCCAAGTTTATATAAAAAACTAAGAAAAAAGACAGTTGGTACCTGTGAAGTAGAAGGGATGTCAGAGAGAGGAAGAGAGATTAAGAAGTCATTATCTCCTAGGGAGAAAAAAAAGAGAAAGACAAAAACTTGTCTACTTTTTAATCTGAGCAGCTATGATCACTGCAGGAAAAACGTCTCCGCTTTTGTCCTCAGGCCACCACATCTACAAGGCCACTAGCACACATTTAAGCACAGAACGGAGATCTACTACAGCAACGTTTTCAGTTTCATCCAGTGTGAAACTAGAGGATGGTGGAATAGGTCAGAAGACGTCAAGTAGGAAAAGAAAAAATAAGTTATTGCTCAAACACCACCTAACTTAACAACGGACCTCCTCGCCACAGGACGCTGCATACGCAGACGTTTACAGGCCTTGCGGGGAAAACTCGAAACCGTGACAGATTATTAAGGCACGGAGGCACAGCCCCTGGCTCCGACCCCACACTCGGGAAGCCTCGCAGGCGTTTGCTCCGGGCTTCCATCGCTGGTTGGATCTCGGCTGGCACAGGCGCCTGGGCCCTGGGCCCGCCCGCCCTCCGTGCTGCGCCAGTACGGCGACGAGGAGCCCGCAGGGCGACTGCGGCAGGAGACAG